TTGATCACCTATGCACATTTGCTTAAAAGAGGTGGCAACAGAATGGCACATACCTCTGAGATGTTATGGTGTTCACAGAAACATCACTGCTTTTCCTACACACAGTCAATCATTTTACTTCTGTTTCTGAAGTATCATAAAGGTTCTTATTTAAGAAAAACACTTATACTGCCGTTCGTCTTTTGGAAAGAAATCTAGGCAACCAACCAATAAACACAAAGCACTGAAAATTAAAAGACTGCTTCAAATCATTAAAGCGTATTGAGGCCTTGATAGATTTCACCTTCATCAGTCAATTTCTCCATGGTATTAAACGAAGCATCTCAAAGATGCAACAAACTTCAACAATCTCACTTGCTTCCAGAAATAAAGAGCAGTAGCTTTGAGTTTTCATTACTCTGATAAAGTAAGATGATTTCCCTCTCTGGCTTTAACTCCAAAGAGCACTGCAGATTTTGTAGCACATGAGAAAAATGTTTGTAATTTTACCAGACACCATCACAGATATATATTTAATATATATATTAAAAAAACCCTTAAAACCAGATATGGACCATGACTATAAATGGTTGGGTCTACTCAGCGATGAAATCCAAATTTTTTTTTACTACTGGTTCTGTGGATGTGACTTGGTGGGTGTGGTGTGGCTTGATGGGCATGGTTTGGTGGGCATGGATACTGCAAAATCCCCACTCCAGGGGAAGGATACTGCAAAATCTCCATTCCCTCCCCACTCTGGGGCCAGCCAGAGGTGGTATTTGCAGGTTCTCCAAACTAATCAAAATTTCCGCTACCGGTTCTCCAGAACCTGTCAGAACCTGCTGGATTTCACCCCTGAGTCTACTGCTATTTCTAAAAGAAATGTACTCAGCTTTCCAGCTTTCTAAATGAGGTGCCCCATTTTTAAACTATCTTTGTTACTAATTGTGAAATTCAGAGGGGAAAAAAAATAGCAATAAGGACGAGATATCTAATAGTAAAGGCACCAGATATCTCATGGGAGATCTCTTAGCGCGTTCTGCTCCAACCAAGAGAATCAAAAGCATTATCAGAGACCACGTATGCATGCTGCTTTAGAAAGTGCGAAGCAAGCTGGGAAGGTTGATCTAAAGAAACGAGTGATATTTTTAGAAAGAAAGGCTTAAATAGCCAGGGATAAATGCTGCAATTCAAAAAAAGGAATATTTCTCTTAAAATACAGCATTTGCTTAGACTGCATACCATGGGGGTGGCTTGAGAATGAGTTGAAAAGACTGACTTTTTAGAAGACAAAATGGTGTGTGGAGGGTCCACGCAACTGTGGGGCTGGCCAAACTCTCAAGACTCCCCCTCTGCCTAAAATAATCCAATGTTAAATGTCCATCTAAGGATTTTTTTTCTTCCTTTTTTTATTTTTAATTGTCATTATTCTGCAATTTAAAATTTTTCAAGCCTAATTTATTTGTTTAATTATTGCAAGGAATTTCTTAAAATACATAAAGAAAACCTGTGAGCTCACTGCATATCCCTGTCCTGTCTTCCCCACCAAATATTAAAATAATACTTAGTAATAAAATAAGAATTGTGCAAATCTGTCCGATCCTGTCTCAGGCTCATACATTCTGACAATAAAAAAAGCTGTCCATTACTTGGCTTTTCCTTTTTCCAAATTGTCATTTAGCAGGTCAATGTCGCCTGGACTTTATGTTATGGGAACTACTGCAGTGACAACTGATGGATTCCCAGAGGATTTCCATACCCTTAACAGAGGTTACAAGGCACTGCACTAGAAAGAGAATGAATCAAATTCTTATGTATATTTTATCACTGTGGAAATTTCCAAAGCATTCAGTACTGTTAGGATGCTCATGACCACAGAAGACCATGACAACTTTCCTCAGAGTTTTCTTCCTCTTCTAAGTAAAATTGGTGTTATTTATTTATTTATTATTATTTATTAGTCGCATTTTTATGCCGCCCAACTCCCAAGGGACTCTGGGCGGCTAACAACAAAGAATAAAACAATGTGAACAATATTCCATACAAAAGTTTTAAAAAACATTAAAACCTATACATTCCAATTCGTGGCTGGGTCTCGCAAGATCACCATAGCGGGATCAATGGCCCCAGGCCTGCCGGAAGAGCCAGGTCTTCACTGCTTTCTGGAAGGCCAGTAGGGTGGGGGCAGTCCAGACCTCAGGAGGTAACTGGTTCCAGAGAGCCGGGGCAGCCACAGAGAAGGCCCTGTGAGGAGAGCCTCCTGATCCAAGTAGGGTCGCAATTGGTGCACCAGACGAACCTGTGCAAAGGTCCCCCTAGCTACAGCCGTCAGATGTTGTTTCAATCTCAGCTGTGAGTCTAGGAGGACACCCAAATTGCGAGCCCGTTCTGAGGGGGGCACTTTCTCCCCCGCCCCCCTGAACCAAGGATGGACAATCGACATAGTCTTTAGGGGGCAATACCCAGAGCCATTCGGTCTTGTCTGGGTTAAGTCTGAGCCTGTTGACTCCCATCCAGATCCTCACAGCCTCCAGGCACCAGCACATCCACCACCTCACTGAACTGATGAGGGGTAGGAATCCCCAAAAGGAATAGCAGCGGCAGCGGCAGCATCTTGAGAGGCGGAGAGAGAGAAAATGCTCCGTTTGGCACCGGCTCGGCTCTTTCTCTGCTTGGCTGCTGGAGAAGGGTGGTTAAAGACCAGGTCTACACATGAGGGTCCAATTAAAGTGATGTATTGCTAAAAGCCTATGCACAGATGTCTTCTCAACTAATGGTTAGCATCTGCTTGGAGTTAGATAAGGGTCAACGGAATTCAAGGGAGGTTGGACTTAGTCTACTTGTGGCTACATAGGGATTCAAGGCTGATCCCTCTTTTGACTCCACCCCCAGATTCTGCCACTCCTTCTCCTACATTGGATGAGGAAATGGTGGAAGGCAACCTTCCTACTCTTCATAAATTATATGGCAAACCTTCCCAGAAAAGTTTCTTCCTCCTGGAAATGTTACCCATTATTTAGAACTCCAAAGAAATAAAGCCAAAAAAAAAAAAAAAGGTTTGTGTGGCTCAATTGTTCCATAAAAGTTGCATACAAAACACCTCCCAACTCTTAAAACATTAGTGTGGCTCCCATCATAAAGTCCACCCCATGGAAAGAAGCTGTTGTGGTCCTCCAACAGCCTGAGGAGCTGGCAGCTGAGTTGGACAGCGATGAGGCTGAGGAAGAACATGGGCCAGTCCTGGAGGCTGGGGAAGGCCCAGATGAGGGCTCTGCATCGAAGGCAGACATGGGGCCAGGGCCATCGGGGAGCTGCCAGAAGGCAAGAGCAGCTAAAGCAAAGAGGATGACTCCGGAGTAGGGCCAAGAGATGATTGGCCCTCCCATAAGGCTTAAAAGACCAGCAACGGCTCTTGGCCTCTTTGTCAGAAATCAACGTTGATAGACTTGTTCTTGTCTTGTTGCACTTATCTCTGGTCTGGTCTTCTGCTTCTGAACTTTTGCCAAGAGAAGCCTTTGGCGGTTTGCCTAATTATACCAAGGTTGGTGATTAGACTGAAGAATTTGTGTTATAAAGAATTTGTTTTAATTCTTTAGTTGGGACTACGCTGAGAATGAGTTAATTCTCAGCTGTTCTAATAAAGTCTGTTTGTTTTGGAACTGTTTGTGTCTAATACTACCTACTTGGGCCTGGGTCACAACAGAAAGAAGGTCAACTTGGGGCAATGGAGACCCACATAATAAAGTCCATATATAGAAAATCCTTATGCAGCTGCTCCTCTGAGTCTCAAAGAGAAGCTAAATAGAGGCAAAATGCATAAACATAGGCATTACAGCAGCATTCAAGCTCCAGGCAAAACAAAGGATATAACAAACATGGTTTGTTCCATACTCGGAGTCAGGCTATGGGTTATTTAGTCACCTTTAATGCATGCAGTTGCATATAACTTTTAATGCATTTAATATTTAATATTAGAAAGACATTAATTCTCTGCCCTAGCACCTTTGGGAATGGATAGTATGCCGTGGCCAGCAGAGTATAGGATGAGCTTAAATCTTTCCTTTCCACTATTTATTCCTGCTATTAACACCCACGTAATGATCTGGATCCCTATCTATCCTTTCATGAGTTGAGAGGGGGGAGAGAGTGGGAGAAGGCAGAAGGAGAAGATTTGGGCAAGTATCTTAAAAAGGGAGATGTTGTGGTCTGCCAGCAGCCTGCGGAGCTGGCAGCGGAGTCGGACTGTGAGGAGGCTGGGGAGGACAATGGGCCAGTCCTGGAGTCAGGGGAAGGCCCAGACGAGGGCTCTGCGTCGGAGGCAGAGATGGGGCCACGGCTATGTGGGAGCGATGTGCAGACTCCGGAGCCTCCAGAGGTGGATAGCAGAGAGGCAGAGGAACAGGGGGAGCCTGTTCCTAGTGCACGCATGCGAAGAGCTGCCAGAAGGCAAGAGCAGCTAAGGCAAAAAGGATGACTCAGGAGTAAGGCCAGGAGATGATTGGCCCCTCCCAGAAGGCTTAAAAGAGCAGCAATGGCTCTTGGGATCTTTGTAGGAAAGCAACGTTGCTACATTTGTTTCTTGTCAGCATCTCTTGCTTCTGAACTTTAGCCAAGAAAAGCCTTTGGCAGGGTGCCAAAGAAGACAAAGGTTGGTGATAAGGTCGAAGGACTGTTTATGAAGAATTTATTTTGGACTTAATTTGGACTAAGCTGAGAATGAAGTAATTCTCAGCTGTTCTAATAAAATATGTTTGTTTAGGACTGATTGTGTCTGGTAATAACTACTTGGGCCTAGGTCACAACAGGAGGGTTAACTCTTCTTCAGTCTCCTATGTCACATCAGAAGGAGTCATAAGCGATGAAAATACTAGCATTGAATAAACACAAAACTAGATAGATATAAAACATGTTTCCAACATTTTCATTTTTTTTTTAAATAAATAAAACCGTACTGTAAAAAAACCAGCATGTCCTCCAGATAAACTGAAGGGGGAAGAAACAGAAGAAGAAAGAAAAATTACCCTTCGAACATCTTTCCCAAATGTTTCACTGTAGCTCGTTCCAAGGATTTCGAACTGGACATAGGGATTAGCACCATCTTCTTGGAATTCCATAATGCCCGTCAATCCACTGATATGACCCTAAAGAAAAAGTTTCACCTAGTTGAGTGACAGAAAAAAAAATCGATGTTTTTTCCCTCCCCAGGATTTTCTTTCAAGCCCTCTGTGCTTTAGATATTTAGTGTATGTGCCCAAGAGTTTGCTTTTCTCCCTTGGGATCAAGAACTAACTGACTTGCTTGGCCTATATCTCTTGGAAAGGCTGATCCATTTGATTACCTTCTTGATTGTCTCCAACATGGATCGGCCTCCATTCCAAGGTTTGGTTGATTTTCTCATGCAATTCAAGCTTGCCATGCTGTGCCATTTCCGGTCTTCCAACTTTCGGTGGAAAGCATTGGCCAGCATGAGGACGCTGTCGTAGAGATAGAGGTTGGAGACCTGTGCATGGAGACAAAGCCAAACAGTCGGTACTCAATTGCTGAAGGGCATACTGAAAAGGTGTAGCACGATGGAGAATGTGGATATAAAGCGAATGCATTGCAAATATAAGTCTGCTTTCTAAGTAATTATTTCTTGATTTCTTCTTTTATCAGAGGAATCTGTAATGCACTCATTGGGGACAGGATCAGCAATACAAAGCTTGAAACCTAATTTTCTTTCCCCAGTTTCAATTGACCTTCTGTGCAGATAGTTCTAGTCCCCTTCTTTAAATAAGGTCTGCATCTCTGTTAAAACAATGTGTTCAATGTGTGCTTAAAACAGAACTAATTGTCTTTTAAACGTAAAGGTTCCCCGCGCACATATGTGCTAGTCATTCCTGACTCTAGGGGGCGGTGCTCATCTCCGTTTCAAAGCCGAAGAGCCAGCACTGTCCGAAGACGTCTCCGTGGTCATGTGGCCAGCATGACTAAATGCCAAAGGTGCACGGAACGCTGTTACCTTCCCACCAAAGATAGTCCCTATTTTTCTACTTGCATTTTTTACATGCTTTCGAACTGCTAGGTTGGCAGAAGCTGGGACAAATAATGGGAGCTCACCCAGTTACACAGCACTAGGGATTCGAACCACTGAACTGCCAACCTTTCTATTGACAAGATCAGCGTCTTAGCGATTGAGCCACCGCATCTCTTTAATTGTCTTCTAGGAGAATGCTAAACCCAAGTATAAGGGAAGTCCATGCAATGCCTGACCTTACATTATTAGCCTAGTACTTTTCTAAACTAGCAATGGAGGGCAGTGCCCAGTGATCCATGGGCAAATGCGAACAATCAGATCTGGGTAGATTAATTAAGGAGGCCTTGTAAAACATTTCTGTAGCAGGATTTGGGTCTGAGAAAAGGAAGAATATTATTAGAAAACCAGAAGAGTTGACTCAGCCTTCCATCCTTTCGAGGTAGATAAAATGAGGACTCGGATTGTGGGGGCAATAAGCTGACTTTGTATAAAAAAGAACATTGCTTAGGAGGAGGCCGAAAGCCCTACTAAGCAGGTATATACAAAAGTATGAAGGTTATTGCTTAACACATTATAAGCCGCCCTGAGTCTCCGGAGAAGGGCGGCATATAAATCGAACCAATAAATAAAGAATAAATAAATAAGCAATAAGGCTAATCTTAACCCATCTCTCTGGTGGTGTAAAAGAAGAGCAGGCAGAGCTGGAGGTGGAGTGAAGTACACCATCAGCTTGGAGTTATTAAGTTCCTATAAATGATCCAAATTCAATCCCCTTGAAATCTGATGATGCTTACTTGGCACCAATTTAGTGCTGAACTAAATCTAGTGTTGACTAGATTTTTGTGTATGAGCTTGAGGGGAATAGATCTTTTAAACTGCAACAGGTCCTGATCCTTACAGGTGGGGTGAAATGGGATAGGGAGAAGATGAGATGAATGCTAGGAAGACATGTCTTCTAAAAGCCGTTCACACAGCATCTTCTTGCCATAATTAACAGGACATGAGATTGAACCTGGAGGACAGATCACTGCACTGGTTAAAAAAACATGTACCGAATGTAGAAGCCTCTAGTAGACATGGCAGCATCTTCGGTTGCTAATATTTTAGGTGGTCACTACAGTGGTGGGTTGCTACTGGTTCGTCCTGGATAGGGCAAACCGGTAGTGGTGGGAGGCTCCATCCACTCGCTGCACATGCGCAGAAGCGTTGCACGAGCGCGCACACGCATGTGAGCAAACTGGTAGCAAACAAAATTGAAACCCACTACTGGGTCACTAGTATATAAAAATAAGAGCCAATCCCATTCCCTTCTAGCACTGAAGATGTTGGGTAATAAAGCATCTGCGAGAAAACCACCAAGCTCAGAGAACATCAAGGACACCAAAGTTTCAAAATATTTCAAAAGTTCAAACCTTTTAAGAATTATTTTTAAAAAGCTTCTAAGGTCATATTCACTTGCCACATGCGTGCTGTGTACTATTGATCAATAAAGACTCTTTCAGTGTCTTTATTGATCAATCAAACAAACATTAATAACAAATCCACCAAATCTTTGCAAGGAGGCTTCTTTGGAAACTTCTTAGAGTTTTCAAACAAGACAAGACAGATGTGCCTTTACCAACAAATCAAAGTTTGAGGATGCAACTTTCTGATTTACCACCTCCTTTCTTTTATCTGCTTTCTTGCCAGCTTGTCATTCTTAACTGCCAGATGCTTTGTTATTTAAAACCTAATTTATGTGTTCTGTTTAGGGCGGTGTCAGATTTTCTCCCAGATGGCTTTGGCATATGTGTTTCCATGTTGAGTAGGATTTCCCCTGATGTTACAAAGAGGGAAATAGTTGATCCAGGAGTTCTAAAGGATGGCAAGACAAGTTTGATGTACAATTTGATAAGAAAGACTAAAGAAGACAGATGCTTTCAATTTTGCTGGTAGAAAAGCGTAAGGCTATAATTAGAAGACACAACTTTGGATTGTGTGAAGCTAAATAAAACAGATTACAAAACAACTCTGAAAGAGAAATGAAAATAATGAAAACAAAATCTGTTGAGATTAGTTAACTCAGACTAATGTATAGTTTTCAAATCATCCCAAGAAAAGGAACAATGAATATATATATATATATATACACACACACACACACACACACACACACACACACACACACACACACACATACATTCACACACACACACACATATATGCATCTCTCTGGGGGTGTGTGCATGTATATTATATATAATTCAACTATCAGCCAGCAGTTTCCAGCAATTGACTGGGAATGGAAGTTCAACCACACTAGAGGGCAACAAGTTGTAAAAAGCAAAAATAAAGGATGCTAAGAAATTGTTATTACTGAGTCAATATTGTATGTGTGTATAAAATATATAGTTATCTCCTCCTTTCTGGTTGATTCATTGTTGGAAACCTTTTGCAAGTCACTTTGATTCACTTGAACAAAGTAACATAAACACTTTGCCAATACGTAAAAACAAATAAATAAAGGGATGGTTTCTACATGAATATTGATAATAATTTCCTCTGCAATATTACCATGTTTTGCCTTTGACTCACATGCATACGTGCCCTGTGGCCATCTTCAGAAGTTGTTGTTAGTTGCGACGTCGTGTCCGATCCATCGCGACCCCATGGACAACGTTCCTCCAGGCTTTCCTGTCCTCTACCATCCTCTGGAGTCCATTTAATCTCACGCCGACTGCTTCAGTGACTCCATCCAGCCACCTCGTTCTCTGCCGTCCCCTTCTTCTTCTTTTGCCCTCCATCGTTCCCAGCATTAGGCTCTTCTCCAGGGAGTCCTTCCTTCTCATTAAGGTGGCCAAAGTATTTGAGTTTCATCTTCAGGATCTGGCCTTCTAAAGAGCAGTCAGGGTTGATCTCCTCTAGGACTGACCGGTTGGATCGCCTTGCAGTCCAAGGGACTCGCAGGAGTCTTCTCCAGCACCAGAGTTCAACGGCCTCAATTCTTTGACGCTCAGCCTTCCTTATGGTCCAACTTTCACAGCCATACATTGCAACTGGGAAAACCATCGCCTTGACTATACACACTTTTATTGGCAGAATGATGTCTCTTCAGAAGTAACCCTCACCATTTCAGTTATTGTACTAACCTACTGTACTGTGTTTTTACTCCTTACTTTTCTGATGCCCTGAACAAAACCCCACAATTCTATTTCAGACTGAAGATCAATTTAATTACCCCCCATTTCTTGTCACCTTCCCTGAGATTCTGTGAGATGCCTGACAGCCACCTTTCTTCTTTAATGCTACAATTCACAATCCCATATTGCTGTTTGGGGAAATAAATAAATAAATAAAAAAATAAAATCCTTTCCCTGTTGTCCTCAAGGAGATAAAATTGGTTGTTTCCCAAACAAACATCTCCCCATGTCGGAGATAATATTTACAGCATCTCAGCTTTGTTGCCAGAATGAGGCTATTGTGAAGAGGGAACCAATCGCCCCCCCCCCAATAATCATTTCCTCGAGCAGCACCACCAATTCCAATTTTCTGGACTTGCAGGCAGACCATAATCAGGAATTCATGTGAGTTTGCTGCACTATCCTGCAGCGGCTGCCCAGGTGGTCTCAAGCATGAGAAAAGAGGAAATTAAGGAATTATCTTTCCAGCAGCGTGCTTGAATTGTTCAAAAAGGAACCCAAAAGAAAACAAGGTCGCTGCTTCGCCCTGGAGGGGGGATTTCTTTGGCAGTCTTGCTGAGTTTTCCTCTTCACGCTTTGGAAAGAGACACTAATTTCATATAAATGAAGTGAGGCAATAGTTATCTGGGGTTTTTCCCCCCCCTTCTCCTTCCTTTCTGTTTACTTTTTTTTAACACCTGAGAAAACTTTTCCACCTGAACTTCATTGGCATTATTATTGTGGTTGTCCACACAATCTAAGCCAGTTTTGGGGGAAACTCTTCAAGCAACAATGATGTTCTGACCTAGGCTTCCCCAGCAGCACGAAGTTGAGTCCTCGTCCTGATAAACCCCTTTTATTTAATTTACAGTGAATTCCTCTCCAGCAAAGTCCTTCTTCTCCCACAGTCTTTCAACATAGTTCACAATTACCGACTTTTATCAGGCTTGGAGAGTGGCCAGGCCGATATCTTTCAGATGCCACAATACTTGGCAAGAATGCAGTAATGAACTAATTGTCTCCTGCAAACTCTACTCCCCTTTTGCTCCTCTTTTATTTCCTCTGGGAGGGGCCATTCATTGTCCACCTGTGGCCTTACTCCCAAGTCGCCCCTTGTTCTTTAGCTGTATCTTTCGTCTGGCAACTCTGTGCATGCACACACTGGGAACAGGCTCCAGCTGTTCTTCTGCCTCATTGATGTCTGACTCCAAAGGCAGCTGATAACTGGCATATGGCTTTGGCCCCCTCTCTGCCTCCGACACAGAGCCCTCATCAGAGCCTTCCCCAGATTCCAGGACTGGCCCTTGTTCCCGCCCAACCTCCTCA